AGTATCGTAGCATTAGCCATTATTTTTGTTCTTGTGAAATTGCTGCTGATCGTCTTATGATAAGATTGGCGTGTTTGCATTGATGTTAATATGGTTGTGCCCCAAGAGGTTCCTCATGGGACACCAAGCATTGTATACTAGGTATTTGTGTGCATCATCAGTGCTGCATTTCGACTTTCTATGTCAGCAATGAACCAAATTTGTACAAGCTATTTCAGTGTGCAATGCTGCTGCATTTCATCTTTCTATATCGGCATTGAACCAAATTTATGGCGTTGACATGTGGTGTAGTCTTGTAGAGTAAGGTGTAGTTTCACATCTGTTACATTGCGACACCATGTTTTATAAGATTGCGTATCTAAATTCCTGTCATGTTGAACTAGAATGGTATGGGCTTCCTTTAAGATGCTGAGTTGGTGTAGTCTAGAGTTTTCTTAAATGAATGTTATGTTGAGTCTTGCGTTTGAACTTAATTCGCTGACGGTGGCCCATTTTTTCACCTTCTGCACATCATTTGGGATATTCTGGTCCTTCAAACATTGCATTTGGGGGCTTATCCTCCATGAGTGCAAGATTTATATGGTTTGGTTTGAGTTGTTGATCAAACTAGGAAGTGTAGTTTTACAGTGCGACAAACCACGCTCTAAGGTTAAGTCGTGACATGATACAGCGTATTGGAAGGAGTTTAAATTTTGGTTCAATATTTTTGGCTTTTAAAATGTCAAGAATACCCATTCAAGAAGGGTTGTGTACAATAATGCACATGCAATTTTTTTGATGAAATCCAAAAAACAATTACTATCCACACTTTTTTTTTTTTTTACTTCACTCTATTAATTTATATCTTTGGATCTTTTTTAATACATTCAATTCGACTGTTGAAATTGAGAGGAGTGTGTGAGAAGTAAAAAGAGGTGTGAACAGCATTACCGAAAAACTATGTGTAGGGGTAGGTGTCACTATGTGTAGGGGTAGGTGTGGTACAGCTCGGTGCGGTTTCAAGTGAAATCGAAACCGAAACTTTTGGCGGTGTGGTTCGGTGCTCTTTCAAACGGATTCAGTTCGGTTTTTGAGAAAAAAATGTATAATTTAAAATAGGAAGAGGATTCTCTCCTCCTATTCTCTTTTCTCTTCCTTCTCTTCCTATTTGAACGGTCACGGTTAAGTTACTGTTAACATTTTATAGTAATTTTATTTATAGAAATAATAAGACAAAAAGCAATGTGTGAGACGAGGGGAGTGAAGGGAATGGAAATAGGAGAGGAGATCATCTTACTTCTTTAAAATATACATTTATTTACGCATAAGACGGTCTTATTTTCCTCATATATTAATTAATGAACCTGCAGCAACAATAATGCAGCAAAAAATAGTGGCAAAACTGCAAAAAAAAATGCAGCAAAACAACAAAAAAAGCATTAAAATGCAGCAAAACTACGGAAAAACAGCAACAAAAAAAATTGCAGCAAAGCAACAGAAAAACAGCAGCAAAAAACAGCAACAAACCTGTACCAAAACTACAGCAAATGACAACTACTAAAATTGAGACAACATCCAATGCATCAATGGGTTTAAATTCTTACGCATCACATCTACTAAAATTCAACTTGATCACCAATCACAATATTTTACTACAACCCAATTGAAAAGTTAAGTTTGCCACAATACAACTAAAGTTCAAACTTCAAGGTTTCAAACAAAGTTCAATGTCAAAATGCCTTATGGCATTAGTACAACCAAAAAATATAAATGGTTCATGAAATTCAACAAAGTCTTGGTTTTTAACTTGCTTTGCATCGTTCAAATTTCAAACCTTTGCCTTTCTTTTTCCTTTTGAACACTTATTCTTCAAAGATTTGTCTAACCATATGCAACAGCAGCACCAATCTACAACACACAGGCATTAAAGAAAGTTTATATGTATACATGTTTCATAATGCACAATTTGTTTAAGTTATATATCAAGATAAGCATTGTTAAGCTCCTAACACATCTATTTCCATAAATTATTGACGAGTCATGCACTCATACAGATTCTATCATGTGTTTTAGAATACTTGCAGGTTTTAGTATACTAAATTTTAATTACGATACTTGGTAAACTCCAAACAAGACAATTTTGAACCAAATCAAGGCAATATAGTAAAATACAAACTGGTACGAGGATGTGAGTACATAAAGAAAACAAAATCCAAAGAGAAGCAGGTGAAAACAGTGGATGGTGATTCCTAAAGAAATTAATAATTTTAGAACTTAAATTGATACTTGGGTGGTTCCTAATCTAGTTCCCTTTTTGATTCACAAACTCTATCCCTAAAATTAATTATAAACCCTAACCCAGTTGCCCTTTTGAATCTTTGATTCAAACGACCCCTAACTCTAAAATTAATTTAATTACAAATTATTAACTAAACTAACTAATACAAGTTCTAAGTTCTTACCATATTAGCTGGAACGAAGAGCAGGTGAATGATTTGCCAAGTCTGTTTTGCAAAGCTTTTGATTTGTAAAGTTCAAGGCTTGCGGATGAAGGGGATATGGGGATGCAAGCAGTGAGGTCGCAAAGATGCAAGCAGCCAGGTCGCAGAGATGCAAGCATCGAGGGCACTGATGTCGACTGTTGAAGAGATAAAGATGAGTTTTGAGAGAGAGAGAGAGACTGACTGATGTATGATGTATGAACTTGAATAGTGGTGCAAAATTAGATGACTAGTGTAGTTTAACTAATTAAAACATAACATTCAATATATAGTGCGGTTTCGGTTACGGTGCGGTTTTGAAAACCCAAAACCGAAACCAAACCGTTCGATGCAGTCCGATTCGATTCGTGTTTCGGTTTCAATTTTCGGTTCCAAATGCCCATCCCTAACTATGTGACGTCTCTCTCAAACTTTTTGTTAATTTGACAAAACGAAATTGTGGGTATAAGTTCAGGTGACATCCGAAGATTGCATATTTTGTTAGGCAGCTATAGCAAACCAACACAAAAAATAAGATATTGATGAGCATGTATGTTCTAACCGGTCCCGAATCACCAAAGCATCATGACCATTGACAGCTTTCTGGGTATGTTTAGAATCTAACAGGATCCTCTTCGGATTTTTTTGGTAAGGATTTTAGGGATTTATAAATCGTGTTTGTTCATTGTATATCGTGCGATCAGTTTTTGTCAAGTACTGTTTGAGTTTATTTTAAATAGAAATATTTAAAGTAATTTCTGACTGCACGATATATAATGAACGGACAAGATTGACAGACTTCTTAGATTCTCACAAAAAGAATCCAACGAGGATCCGGATTCTATTTAGAACAGACTGTTGTCGCTATATACTTGTTGTGGTAACTATTTGCCAGTACTTGAATAGAAAATAAGACAAAGACAAAAAAAAGAGTGTGAGGGAAGACGATGGAAGGAATGATAATAAAAGGAAGAGACGACAAAGCTTTCTTTTGACTTTTGACTACTTAATGATCCACTATAATTGACCGAAAAAAAATATGATTGATCCACTTCAGATATAGGGTTCCAAATTCCCAATTCATCATCCTTTCTTTAGGGTAGATGCCCTTTCGAATGAAAGTTTCACTGCAGCTTTTTACAAGTCTTGCTGCCCAATATGTTGTGTTTCGGAGGAAAGTACCCATCGGTAACTGTAAAAAGTAAAACGATTCACGACATATGGCAAATTCAAGTTTCTTTGATCCCAATTATATATGTATGTGGTTTATATATAAATGGCGTATTTACGTGCACGGGTTAATTCTAATGATTCATGTTTATAAGATTTATGAAATATAAATAGTTAAAATTAACTCAAACACATGTGCGTGACTAAGCTTAACTATTTCTCTGCAAATAGAAACCTATGAAAATAAAATAAAATTTGAGTCTTTGCTCAAACAATACAACCTTTCTATGCATGCAATGCAAATGCTAAAAGCTCAAAGAGTTTTGGCACAAAACGAAAAAAGACACTAAATTGAAACTGATCTCTTCCTGCCCAATGTACAATAAGGATTGCTAGAAACCCATTTCTCACTTAAAAAATTAAACTATAGATGATTAGGGTCTGACCAACAATGAAAAACAAAATAGATGATTATACTTCACTATTGGGACAACCAAACATCAATATATAGAACCAGAGAGTGAATACATATTTTCAAACTCTCCACCTTTGAGTTTTGAAGTTTTCAATCTGTGGGGATGTGGGGACCTTTGATCTTGAACTCTCACTTACAACCACATGGGGGAGAGTTAATTACCACACAGTGGATCAATGTCAATGAGTTAAAACGGTTACTGATGCAGTAGATGTAGGTCATTGATGAACCAAAACTGGGCAGCACAAAAAGCAAAGGAGAGACGTTCTTATGTCAATTGGTTTTTGCTCTTCTTTCAGGAAAGGACAAATCCTGAGATGCCACTTTTCCTTCTCCATGCATGCTTCTAGAAACATCCACCTTATTACTTATGGTAAATTTGCTGCACTTTCACTTTCACTTTCCATGTGGGAGAAACGAGAGTCAATTTATGGAGAAAACAACGCATGAAACAAAAGGAGCTTCTCTAACCCTAGCTAGTCACTTTACTCACCTGCCGTTGGATTGAAGTTTTACATCAGAAATAGATGTGGCTGCAAAGGTATTGCCAGTTTCAGCATTTTAGGATTTAGGGGTGTGACTGTAATTTGTCTATGGAGTGAGACAACCTGAGACATCAAACATTCTGAAATGCTTCAACATTTATTTACTCTTCATCCCAACTTCACGTTGATATAGCAGTGAAACCTAGCACACGTCTTTTTAATATATCAATCTCATCAAATCTTGAATATTTCTTCGGGTTTTCCCTATCTTTGGTGCTTAAAAAACCTCGTGTCTCACTTTAGTGAACAATATGGTGTCTCAGAGAAATTTTTATCTCTTTGTAGCAAAAAGAAGAACTTTGCTTAGAAGAAACGGTGGAGAAACAAAAGCCCTTGTACATGCGCAGCCCAATGGCGGTTTCCAATTCTGATAATGAAGAGGAGGATACAATCTTCATGAATTCCATTGTTAACAAACGTATGTTTATAAGCCATCCATAATTTGGCAATTATATATATAGGCTTACATTAACCTTACCTAATTTCTATTGTTTATGCAGCCCCAGAGAAGAGACAACGAGTTCCATCGGCTTACAACCGATTTATCAAGTAAAGATTATATGCATGTGAATATGATTCAATGAGGAGCTTTAGACATTTTATGTGACTTTCTTTTGTTAAACAGGGAAGAAATCAGGAGGCTTAAGGATGAGAATCCAAGCATGACTCATAAGGAAGCTTTCAGTACAGCATCAAAAAATGTAAGTTTTTTTATAGCCAAGATCAGTAATGAAATTTAATTATAGTACTATTAACTTTCGTGATTTTGCATGTTTGACTATGTGTAGTGGGCTCAGTTCCCTCCAATTCAGTACAAAGAAGATGGTCCAGATGGAGAGAGTTGCACCAGCCAGAGAGAAGAAAATGTGGCATGGGAATCTGATGTGCCTGAGGTAAACTAAACACCCTAAGTTCCCAACTTTGATCAGATTAATTTCCAATGTACTTATCACAAAAAATAAAATCCAAAAGGGTAATCAAATTAAGTAATCCCTAAATTGTCGACTATTGTTTATAGGTTAGTTATGCAGCATGCGTGATTAAAATATTGATCACAAGAATGTAAACCCTAATTGACTTTTGTTTAGAGGTTAGCAAACCCTAACTAAAATATCATGTAATCAGTTCACATTTATCTAATTAGTAGCAAATGATCAGAATATATAGCAATTAACCAAGGGGCAGCAGGAGGGCTAATAGTAATATCGATCCCAAAACTTGTCACTATCTTTGTAGTTCAAACTACTGAATGCCAAATTTATTATTTGAAAGCAGAGGCTAGCTCCTTATGCGTTTGTAATAATTAAATTTATGCCATTCATTTATGCATAACTTTCTGTTGAGAAAAATTTGCAGGCAGTCGAAGATGGCAAAGTTTTCCGCGAGACAAAGGCCCCAAGGCATTCCATATGGGAAGGACACCCTTCGAGTGAATGAAGACTTGACCTAAACTTCTATAACAAGAAAGCTGTTCGTTTTTCAGGCCTACGATTTAGGGTTCAAGTCACTTGCTATTTTAAGAGTAGATTCTCTAGGAAATGTGCTTTTCGTTTCAGATTGAACAAAAACGTCTTCACTGGCTGCAGAAAGATGTATCGACTAACTTAGACCATTCAAAAATGGCCCAGCCCTCGTATGTTTCAGAATAAACACACATTTACTTCCAGTACTGTTTCCTTCTTCCAAATCTTGCCCCCCTTTGAATATAACTGCCTGGAAATAGAAAATGCAGCAACCTCAAATAATTAAGTTTGCAATAATTTTAACAATCTAATTAAATTTTTATAGGCCCCATAGCTGTATGAGAATCTATACATACATACATATATATAGGGTCTTATATAAATCTTCCCGATTGACTATCGCAGTTACAGTGATGTATCTAATTTTGTGGAGTAATTTATGAGTGTATTGAATGCAAATAATTCTAAAAAAAATAATAAAAGTATAGATGAGCTGGGTTCTTACCTATCAGAGGCCTGGGAGAAATAGAGTGGAAGCATGCTTGGAAGAAGTGCCTATTCTCTTTTTGTAGCTCTCTCCACGCTGCAATCCTATATATATGCATTCAGCATTCACACACTAGTAAACCAACTAACTAGACTAATAATGATTCATAGAGGTGGGCATCAAACCAACTTATCCCAATCATATTGGTCGGTTTGGTTTTGATAAAAAAAAAATAAAAAATAAAAAAAAAAAAAAAATGTCAAACAAACCGAACTGAATCGATTTATTTTTAATTTGGTTGTGATACTTTTGAAACCGAGCCAACAATGTATTTTTCAATTATTAATTTATTTATTTTACATGTCAACGTATTATAGGTTATTTAAAGGTCTTATTCATATACATATTTATAAGTCTTAACATATTACAAGTAAGCGATTTATATGTACTTTATACTTATGTGAGGTTTTAATTAATAAATCGTTTGCTAGCATGAGTTTTTATTTAATTGAAAACTAGTTCTATTTGACTTAATGAACTTTTTATGTTCCGAAAAACTTAATCTTTCAATCAAATTGGAATTAATGCATGATATGTATGAGAATGTTCAGAAGATTAAAACTCTTGAAATGTTCAACATGTTTTATTTATGTATTGAAAACTTAAACCGAGCGAACCAAACCGAATGAAACCGATTAACAATGATTTGTTTTGGTTTGGTTCGATTCCAACAGCGGCATTGATAAAAATGGAACCAAATCGAACTGTTCAATACTAGTTTATTCGACTCTATTTTTTGTGTCAAACCGAATCAAACGGATCCGCACCCACCCCTTATGATCGAACACACGCGTCTGTATACGTATTGATACACTTGTAAATATAGAAAATCTCGAGAGACAGACCTGTAAGCGTGACGAGTGGCCTAATGCTTGCATGCTCTGCTAGCACCTTTACGCATTGGTCACGACTCATGTGAAGTAGCAAGCATCTCTCAATAAGATGTCGAACCTGTTTTTTATGTGTATCAGTATCAGTACCATAATTTCCATGCAAATTAAGAAAAGGGTAATGTTAGAGAGATTAAAATTGTAGATAAAATTTTGTAAATTAAATGACATGGAAGTTGGTGATTGAATAATTACTTAAGAGTTAATAAACATGCTCATTCATATTGGTGACACATCATTTAGTTTGTAAATCTTGTTTACAATTTAGTCTCCCATTACCCTTAAGAAAATTATTGGCATGCATAAGTACGATGAGAGAGAGAGATGGAGATTACCATTTTAATGTAGCTTTGAGAGTGGCAATGCAGACATGGACCAAAGTGATGACTGTGATACATTTCTCGAGAGTCTCGATGAGTCTAGGGTTTGGACAAAAACAAAAGGCATGAAAGGCTAAAGGAAGAATAGATTAGAAGAGAGAGAGGTAGAAAGAAAACAGATATATAAAAGCCAAAAAAAGTTCAAGGAAGAAAAGATATTTAGAGGGGTTATATAGAACAAAAGACGACCTAAAATATCAAAAGGGAAGTGTTGTTATCCACAGATATCCAAGCGAAGGGCCAAAAGAGCACTAGAAATCCAAATGATAGAGTCACCTCATCTCCAAAGACTTCAAAAGATAAGAGAACACACATTTGCGTTGGTGCCGATGACAAATCCGTACGTGGCTAAGCCTCTAAGCCACTTCACTTGATGATTGATGACTTGAACTAGTCCCAACAATTAATTAATTTGCTACCTATTTTCGGGTCCTACATCCTCTACTTGCAAATTGCCATGAGTTAGTATTGTGTTCGTGTATGCTAGCTAGGACTCTTGATGCAATACCGCGCATGCCATGATTCATGGATAAATATACTTGTATAATAGTCTTATCTCATTTGTCACACGAACGATATTGGAGGAAAAAATTGAACTTAGAACTTCAAATGGAAGTATAAAAATGGTATTTCATAGCCGAATGCAATTGGTTATCCATTATGATATTGCATAAATAATGTTCCTTCTACATATCGTTTTTGTAGCCGCTTATGTCCCCCGCAATATTGAGTGTTCATTATTTTTTAGATGAATATACAATTTTCTTCGCTTTCATTTCTTAATTACGGAATTACAACTTTCTCGAAGTCCGGTTTTGAAGAGTTACAACTAATGATTTTAACAAAGATTTAGACTTTTAACCACTTGAACTGCAAATCTTTTGCGACAATGTAATCTTTTATTGCATATTTTATAGGGAGTTTTGAGTCTTGACACCTGGAATGGCATAAGTTCTCCCCTTATGTTAAAGTATGGTTCTTTCTTCTTTGTGGGTGCGTTTATTCTTCACGTCTTCATGTGTTCGGGTCAATATTATTCTAGATAGATGCGAAGCTTATGTGCCGCAATACTTTGGTCCCAACCTCATCCTCCCCACATTACAAAAAAAAACATGTTAATGAGGAGATATTTTCAGTGTAATGCCGGAAACTCGCACTCAGTTCACCATGAACAAGTCAAACCATTGGCATAAAGCCAAATTGCCTCCAACTTATTCACATGTGAATCGGCAAAGGAGAACCGTCATTTGACCTTGTCAATGATTCATCGCATTTGTTCCACCATCCTCATGGCCTGACTGAGTGACAAATCCACCTGATTAATTAGCATTATATAATTGATTATCTTACCACCATCATCGAATAAATTATTATTCATTCTTTTGACAACTGTTGCCTTTGTATATAACCACGTTTATTGAAAAAAATAACACAACCACCAGATGACCTTGTGAGTTGCAGACAAATGGAACCTATTCCACCCTAAAACAGGGAGAGGTTCCTTCTGGTCCAACTTCAATCAGCCAACTATTCCAAAAGAAAAAAAGGATTCGAACACAATGCATTACTGATCATTTTTATTTTGGAGGATTGATATTCAAGTTTTAAAACTCAGATCTATCAAGTGTTATTTGTTTATTATTTCGGTTCATCGAAAAATGACTGATAGCTCAGAATTTGTTGTTTGCAAAAAAATACGGTACTAAGAGTGATCCAGATACAATGCCAAGAAACATTTACCACACTCAGGCGCTTGACAACGCAAAAATCTAATAAACCCAAACTGGTCACTTGTAACACCACTATCTTCCTCAATTAACATCAGACTTCTCCAAAATAATAACCAACAAAGAGTTGGTACAAATTCATCAACTACACTTGTAGTAAATTTTTAACTAAAATAATGAAAACCTTTAGACGATTTGCGGCAAGAATTCAGTTGATTTCTCCATAAAACTTTGAAGAAAGTTGAGATATTGAGATTTTACCTTAAGACAATTGACAATATTGAAAATAACCTAATTAACTCCATAATTACTAACCCATTTCCTTTAAGGCTCCATTTGTTATACCTTCTTAAGGGAGACTGTCTAACAGGGATTTCAATCCAGTAGAAGGAGAATAAAGTTCCCTTAATGACCCTCGAAAAGCAACCTAGCTAAAAGATTTATGGTTCCAACTATGAAACTGCGGCCCCAAAAAGAAGAAAGTAGATGGCATTCCATTAGGTCGATTTCTTCTACCTACATCTAGAAAGTAGAAACCTTTTTTAATTTGTTCATAAATTTATACACACTGATGGGATATCTGTATGCATGTATTACTTTCCCTGCTTTCTTTACCTACAAGAAATAAACTCATATAATCACTATTAAAACACAATTACATCCCGAGGACCCCAAATCACTTTCAGATCAACAGCAAAAGGAGGGGTAAAAAAAACAATCACGTTAAAAACACATAATTCTTATCGTCTCCACAAATCTACCTTTTGATACAAATCCCATCGTAGAAATCACTCAAGAAATTAATTAATATAAAAAAAACCGATATTATTGTGTGCAAAGTATCGCGTGCGTGAGTGAGATGTGGGGGGAGTGATCAGATCAGATCAGATCAAATCAGGCCAGATGATGAATGAAACGCACTGACCCCTCCATTATTGTTCTGTTTTGGAAGAAATTAAAAGCAAAGAGCGAAAAAAAAGACAAAAAAATGCAAAATGGGTGGGAAAATGCAGGCCAGAGGCTCCTTTCATAGCAATGACGTGTGTTTGTTGAAAGGCATGCATGTGAACTTGTGAGGCAGGTAGCTCCATCCATCCACACTCACACGGCTTTTTAATTTTGAATATTTGGCGACACGCACTATGGTTTGATTTGTACTTCTGTGTGTGCGGACGGCTTCTTTGTACTGCTAACTATGCTTCTTCACGCTATCCAAAATTTCAAACAAGAAGGAAAGAAAGAAAGGAGAAATTTCAGAGATGGCATGCCCGCTGCCGATTGCTTGCTCCCAAATTATTTTTACTTTTGATCCAAGCAACAACAAAGCAAACCATTTTCTTTTCTATGTGCCTTGGGTTTGCGCCCACCTTTGATTACTAATATATCCATACTTTGTAGATTACGGAGGAGAATATTGTCACTAAGTTAGGTACTGAATGAAAATGAAACAAAATTAATTTTTGAGGACAATGGGAGAACATAGAGCCTAACCCCAATCAATACAATCCTAAAAAAAGTTATGATCAATAATATTACGGATAATATACTTCCACCCCACCCTATGGAGGAATGCATATATTTCAACTTGTGCGTAACAAATTTTTACGTAAAAATTTTAAAATCAGAACTGTTTAAGTTCTTAATCTTGATTTGAATATCATTTCTAGAGAAAATCATTTGAACTAGAAATCATTTAGTCATGCAAATGTATAAAACAAATAAATAGTATTGGCATGAATTAACATATTCATGATGAATGATCCATTTAATTGATGCATTTAGATAACTAAACAATCTCCGATGTGAATGATAATAATACAATATTCACATAGGAAATATGTGCACTCCAGCATAGAGTGGATTGCAAGCATTATCCTAATATTATATTCAGTTTATCTTCAATACAGTGTTTCTAATTAAATGGGACAAACGTTAACCTTGTTGTTAATACAATTAGGCATGTATTTTTGGTTTTCATTATCCTAATTATGCAATCAAGTTTCTAATAACATCCGCAACCTTTTCTACAACGAGATCAAATCTTCTGCACCTAACAAGGGTGTGGCCTCTCTGTGGCCCCAATAAGTGTCTGACATGTATTCATTATCTTAACTTTTCTTAATTTTATTGTCATAAATTTAATATGTGTCAGACATTTATTGAGACCAAAAAGAGGCCACATCCACTTTGAATGCAGAAGATTTGATCTCTTCTATAGCAGCCGTGGACCACTACTATGTCGGTTTCCCAAGAAAGAACGCAAATCGACATAAGAACAATATAGGTTCTCCGATCTCGGCTGAAATCATCTAATTTACCACTAGTTGATGAAATGATTAGTTCAACATTTGAAATTTGATTTCAGATAATTTAGTAAAAAATCTGAATTTCTTTTATTAAAGGAAATACCATCATTTTTAGATATAATATTATTAATTTCTATAATTCATAAGTGTCCAACGTATTATCAAGAGTTCTTTTTGTTCATTTTAAAGCATCGAAAACAACTATTTTTTTATATTTTGTAACTTCCAAAATATTTGTGGCTTCATTCTAAATAATCGTAATTTAAAGATTTGATTTATTCTAAAAAAAATGGATGTTCAAAGCACAGAAATTCAACCATATGGGTTGATTTTGTATCATAATTGTAATGGGACAGCTGATTTGGTTTTATCTTGGTGTTTGATTATACAATTTGGTTCAGATTTGGTTAAATGGCCAATATACAATTGGTATCCATATAATTAACAACTTGCATTAGACTAGTCCTTTAAACTTGCTAAGGTGTCATGACTTGGCAACCAAACCATTAGTATTCGAATGAGGATCCTCTCCGGATCCTCTTTGTAAGGATCTTGGAAATCTTCAAATTGTGTCCGTTTGTCGTACATCTTATGATCAGTTTTCGTCAGATACTGTTCATGTTTAATTTTAAATAAAAGTATTTAAAATGATTTATGATCTCACGATATATGATGAACGGATACGATTTGAAGATCCCTAGGATCCTCTTCCTCACAAAGAGAATCCGAAGAGGATCCTCATTCTTAGCATTCAACCTTGCAAAAGCCCGCGTCATCAAATTAATACTCTCAAGTTCAAATTCTTTTATATGAATTTTTTTTGCTTTGTACAAAAAATGATTATTTGGGTGGCTCTTTAATCAGTGTTTAAAATATTAATATCGATGCAAAATATCGATATATAAATTTGTAAAAATATAGACGAATATATCAAATATAAATATCGGTTGCTTTTGATGGAAATGATAGAAATTTAAAATGAAACTTTAGGGATTGTCAAATATTGATTTAGACTAAATATAAGAATTTTTCTGATATTTAACAGACGTGTAAAAAATATCGATGATAAAATTTTAACGCAAACTTAAAAGTTTTTTTTGATATAAGTGAAATTTAAACTTCATTCCATTCTATATCTTTCTATAATTTTTTTAACATTTTCATAAAAATATCTATCGTATAAAAAAAAATTCTAAACGCTGCTTGAAATTAACAAATTATTTAATTCATATGAAATATTTTGGTGTGGTTGGTCCGTTGCGTCTCTACACTCTAATTCCGTGAATGATGCGGTTGATGCTGATGATGGCTCCTCGTCTGTCCGCTCGCCCGCCAAAATTACCCGCCAACAACAAAGCGGGTGCGTGGGGTCCGCTATTCTGTGGGGGCCCATCCCATTCGGTCAGCCATGAGCTAGCTAAAACTAAAAGCTCTAGTTGTACCCCCAACCTTCCTCACCCCACCCACACCCCCTTCCCCTATTTCCCCCGCTTTTAATATTTTTCAACTAACTTCTGATCCATGGCCCCCTTCCCCCCGCTCTCGTACTAATTCTACCGACCCACGCGCCACACGACATATAATGTGTACCCCATCCTAACAATAATTAACTTTTTTTTCTTAAAAAGGAGATCAAAGGTGGTTTTACCACCGCAGTCTATTTTTTTGGAGGTTGAAATGACTCATAGAGATATTTTAGTATTTTTTTAGTTATCATCGTGTGATTCACTAACATTAGAAACCAAACTTAGGATGTTTCGTATGAATTACTAGTATGAAATTCGTCACCAATTACTGGACCCCATCATAATAATTCAACCCATTTAATAATTTTGTTGGACGCCCAAATGGAAATGCTATGTTGTTTTACCAAATTGCCTTGTCTTTGTTACCAACCATGAATTGCATCTTCGTCTTGAAAACTACCTTTTTGGTCCGTTATCATCGAACCGTCGTTATTTCTTATAAATATTTATAGGTTTTTTTTTAATTAAATTTATGACTTGGACTCAACAGCCATACAGTAAAAGTTGGTAATTAAGGTCAGTAAATTAGGAACTGTCAGTAAATAAGGTAATAATTTGCGGTGGGAAAATAAAAGGAAAACATAAGGGCGGTAAAAAGGTGAAGCTCCAACAGTAAAAAATGGTAATTAAGGTAAGTAAATAAGGAACTGTCGATAAATAAGGTAGTAATTCGTGGTAGGAAAAGAGAAAAATAACAAGGGTGGTAAAGTGAGTTAGTGCGGTGAACTACACAAGTGAACCACTTATTTTTTCAAACGGTTGCATTTGGAGTGAGATGAACTTTTTCATAAATAATAGAAAAACATTTTATCTTTAATTCTTATCCGTATATTAAGGAGATTATTTTTCTCTATGCTATATGATAGGTTTATTTACTCCTAAATGAGATAATTCATGAACATGAGAAAATAAACTGAAATATAATCAATTATTCTCGCTAATATCTATTTTATGAGTTTTTACGTAGCATAATATAAGTCGCGAATTGAAATAAATATGATATGGGTAAATATATAATATAACTTACCGCACAAATAATAACGTTATGGTATCAACGTAAGGTGTTTTATTTTTGAAATTATCATGCATAAAAATAATATTTATTTATGGAAATTTGAAAGTAAACGAAAATTGAAAAAATAAAGGCAGAGAGAGAACGGCAATCCGTTTGCGTAACCACAAGCACCGAATATGTCTGTGTGTAATGTGTGATTTGGATTGAAATAATAGTTTTTGGGTTTTGGGCACTCTCTCCCACTCTCATCCATCCTCATCCCATTTCTCCATAATGTTCTTGATCCTCCATCTTCTTCCAAACGACAACAGCTCCACTCTTTAATCTCTTCGGTTTCGATTTTCCAGATCTTCCTCTCCCTTTTTCTCTTCCAAATTTCACTTCTTGGTCCTTTTCCTTTCTGGGTTTTGCATTTCACTCCTTCTGGGCAGCTTAAACATCATTCCCCAAACGATCGGTTATCGAAAAAGCAGTGCATTTCTTGAGGTAGTCATCTTCTTTTTCTTGTTTCCTGTTAAAGTTTGGAACTTTTTTTATGGTTTTATTCATTAAATCTTTTTTGGTCGTTTTCTGAGTCTGATTGGAGTTGGCATGTGATTGCAGGATCTGGGATTCTGGGCAAGCACCGATTTTGCTTGAGACTGAATCAAAGAGGATTTGGATATTGAGGTAACTTGTTCTATCTGTGATGCTGCTGCACTTTTTTTTTTTTTTTTTTTTTTTTTTTTTTTTGGGATGTTGATTTTTTATGGATTTTAGCTAATTTTTGTAGGAAAGGAATAAATCTTTTCAGTAGGAGATTAGATTGGCATTGAATTCTTTTTGTAAACGATCTAAAAGATTGCATTTTTTCCCTTGTTGAGATGGGTATCTTATTGACTTTCCATATTTTTCAGGATTTTCCTAACCTCTCAACTTAGATAGGAGTTTTCCATTTATTTTCTCTGTTGAATATGATAGCACCGCTTGGCATAACAATCCCATCTCTTTTGTAGTACATCCAATTTATTCACCTGCTGATTTAGCTTCGTTTTGTGTCTTTCGTTCTTGGAATCATCGATATGCTCTGATTTTACCGCATGTGTGTATGTTGTCTATCTATGATTGCATTTGTTGTTGGTGGATGTTATCGGCTAAGCCACACAATGGGCAGCCTAATTTGGTATCAAATTCGCCATCCACGAGATTCGAACCTAAGACCTCTCACTTCCAAGTGAAAAGGAATACCACCAGACCGTAATACTGAATGGCTGAAAGTGTGATTACGTTTATTGGCTGCTTTTTGTTTTTTCCCTTCGGGTCAGGTCTTGAGTAATGTTCAGTTTTCCTTGTTTCTAACTCCACTGATAGGAGATGACAAGCTTTGACTTCATTCTTTCCTGAAATATATCGATCATAATTGAAGCTACAGTGTTTAGATTTACAGCTGATTTAAAATATTGAGACTTGCTGCATTGTGATGCATTGAAGCATTTTGTTTTGATCATCAAAGTTGTTGGATGCAACTGGTTTAGAGGTTTATGTTGTGAATGCTTACGCATATATTATACAACGTGCACTGACATGCTTTCTCTCGAGTTTTTATGTAGTAAACGAAGAGAAGAACCCTAGTTCCTTTCCATTTTGGCTGTAGATTGAACTTGATACCTAGTTTAACACCATCAAACTCATTATAGCTTGACCCAATTCAGGGGCAACAGGACGCGTGTTAAGACAGACGTAATAACTTTAGATGCAAGCTGAACTGTGACTCACTTTTTAGCCAAATATGTGAAGGGTTGTCGTTTTTTTACGTGCATAATGCAGTTTAATTCAGAATCAATATTGCATTTAAAGGCTGTAGATTATGAATAACGGATATCCTCATCCCTAGAGTTAATCGTCTCTCTAGTGTTTCCTAGATTCCCGCATTTGGAATATAAGGGTTTCTGACATGAACGGAAAAGCCATATTGAAGTTTTACTTAAAGTTGTAGACAAACCATTGAAGCGGCATATTCAATTAAAGTCAAGTTAAATGTGGTTTCCAACTTTGCTTAACTATTTCATTGCTTCGTGTTTTTTTCATACATATTCTGGAACATTGTTTTCACCTCTTATACCATGATGTACCCGCTTACCAACTTACAATAAAGCACTTTAATATGTGACTATTGTGAAGAGAATATCCTAATTTGTGTGGAGAAGCCCATTTTCATAATGCACTTGCTCTAAAGGTGTGAAATAAGAAATGAAATGACGTGTCTCTGTATAACTTGGTCTCTCAATATACTTAATTATAGAAAAAGCCATCTATAGTAAGGGTGAGCCTTGTATATGCCTTTTGGATGATTATTTCTTGAATCGAGTAAAAATAAAATGGTTTGATTATTTTTTTATGCACACTGGCTGTTGCTAGAGATCCTTCAAAAGAACCTTGTCTTGGCCATTGCCCACTAGTTCTAATTCAAGATTTAAATTTCCCCTTTTCCAGGTTGATTCTTGCTGTTTATTTTCCAACCTTCGCCAAAAGAAAACAATTGAGGTAGTTTAGTTTGTCTTATACGATGTTGGGAGGCAACAGTGGTAACCCCATGCTTCCTGTTTTTGTGGATGAAAATCGTTACCCATATCCGACAAATGCTTCAAGTCAACTACAGCTGTTTGGAAATGGTAAGTTGTTGTGTCTGCATTCTTTGTTCCGATAAGAACTTTAGAATTAATTTAGATTCATTGATTTTAATCATCTCTACACGTTCATATAAAGTTCTTATCTTGCAACTCAATCTTTATTGAGCATCATTTTTTCCTTACTAGAATTTTTTATAGTTTGACTTATCTTTAAGAAGATGAAATTTCAATTTATGTTGCAGTACAAGCTGGATGTAACGTTGATCCTGTAAATTATTTTGGAACTGAGCATATTACTCCCATGCTTCGGCCTAATAAACGAAACAGGGAAATGGAAGATATCTCAAGACAGCAGAAGCTTCAGATTTCTTTAAACTATAATGTCTGTCCGGATGAAGTTGATCATTCAGCTAGCATTCCAAACCCAAATGCTGTATCAACGGGGTTAAGGCTATCATATGATGACGATGAGCGCAACTCATCAGTTACTTCGGCTAGTGGAAGTATGACAGTAGCACCTTCAATGATCCTATCCCTAGGTGACAATATTAGGACTGAGCTGGATCGACAGAAGGAAGAGTTTGATCAATACATCAAAATTCAGGTACTTATGATCTTCAAACACAAATCTCCATATTTCTCATTTTCCAGCGTATGGTTTGATATGTGATGTCTTTTGGAGTAAAATCGGTATAAATTTTGATTTGTGAATAAGGATTTGCAACTTCATTGTTTTCTCTTTTCTTACACAATTTGAAATTCCAATCTAACTTTGTAGTACAGATATTATGTTTTGAAGATGGCTGCTATTTGTGGTATAACATATCGTCCATTCTCACTATAACCTAGATTAATGATTTATACTCAGAAGTATCGAATCTTGCTTGAATGTTGAACAATCTAGTCCAACAACTTAAAAATTTCGAACAGGTCATTGTGCGTTAACTTTTTTCTGTGTGTGGGCATCATATTATAATTAGTTGCTCATGTAAATCTAACGTTGGATGCTCATCGAACAGGAGGAACACTTGGCAAAGGGAGTTAGGAACATGAAGCAGAGACATATGTCTTCTTTCCTTGCTGCCATAGAGAAAGGTGTCAGCAAAAAGATGATCGAGAAAGACTTGGAAATTGAGAACATGAACCGGAAGAATCAAGAATTGGTGGATAGAATAAAACAGGTGGCTGTGGAAGCCCAAAACTGGCACTACAGAGCGAAGTACAATGAGTCCGTGGTAAATGTCCTGAAGAGCAACTTACAGCAAGCAATTTCACAGGGTGCCGATCAAGGGAAGGAAGGATTTGGAGACAGCGAAGTTGACGATGCTGCCTCGTACATCGATCCAAATAACTACCTGACTATCCCAGCTGGACCCGCGAAAACCGTGTCGAAGAATTACCTTGGGTTGGAGCAAACGGGTTCGAGAACGTGCAGAGCATGCAAGGGGAAGGAGGTGTCGACCTTGTTGATGCCGTGTAGGCATCTGTGTTTATGTAAGGACTGTGATGTGTTTGTCAACGTTTGCCCTGTTTGTGAGTCAATGAAAACTGCTAGCTTCCAAGTGTACTTGTCCTAACTTATGAAGCAACTTAAAAAGGAAAGAAATTAAAATAAAAATTATGTGATGAGGTGTTGATTATATGTGTGATTTTCTCTCTGAAATCAAAATCTGTATGTAGAAGATGTAGTTGTCTTTATAAAATGAGTTATAGGCTTTTGTTTTACTTTTTTTTTTACAGTAAATAAAAGCGCTTTTGCTACTCCAATGCGTTTTTTACTATATTTGATAGAAAAACTTGAAATCGCATTTGGGTTATAGAGGCATTTTTTGGAAAAAGATCCGCCTAATAAAAGCACGTGTTTAAAAAGTGATTGTGAGCATAAGTGCTTTATTACAAAAACAAAGTAGCATATGTAATCCATAATTTATATAGTGGTAAGAATCTAATTCATCCGATATTCTGTCAGCATACCACGAATAGTGTTTCTGCTTTTAATAATTGGATGAAGCACTTAAGCACTCAGGTTAGAATGGCACATTGGCAATGCCGCCGCCGCCGCCGCCACCACCACTATCCTTGCAGCAGCACAAGAACCATTTCTGTATGTCATTATTTCCTCCAACAGAGGCAGGGGCAGCCATGCCATCCACACTAATTAACACACGTCAATAAATACGTACTTTATGGTCTGGGACTCTGGTGGATCTGATTTTTTGATAAAACTAATATTTAAAGTATGGAAAATCGATAAGGAAAAGGTTGGAACTTGGACGCATTGGATTGATGAAAAAGACTCTAACTACCAAGATAATTCACTACTTACTGCATCCTGGGACATTTATATTGTATTCAGAGGGTTTTTGGTTTTCTTCTGCTTTTCAGCTGATTTCTTAAGTACTGGGCTTCCCAGCCACCTCGTGTCGAAAGGCTATGGGCCAATAAGCAATATAGTTCGAAAACATCCAAGGCCAGAACCGCCCAAATACAATCAGTGGAGGTGCAATTGGAAGTTCTCTTCAGTTATAATTTGGTTTCTATACCCAATCACATTAAGCTTCAACGTTCCAAATCAATAACGTAACGTAGGCTGAGTTTAGACCATCGTGAGTGTCGCAATAAGAGTAAGCAAACTTCACTTAGTGAATGACAATTGAAGTTTTAGTCTTGAAAACTTGAGAGGAGCATGCAGATACTTTTTTTGACATAAATATTACGAGGAAGAGCGTTTGAACTCAAGTTTACTCAACACAAGAAAAAATGCTCGATAATCATCAAGCAGATAAACCTATTGATCCTATTTATTTATAACAGCTGCCAAATGTGACCAACTGATTGTGACTCCTGCCTCGTGGCTAACGCTTTCTATATATATGAGAACGGAATTTTGGTAATATTTTTTTTATATAATTTTTTACAAACGTTTTTGTAGGATCTACTTTGTAATGTATTTAACAATCCGAATCGTTTATCTTTTAAAACATCATTCATAGATCGTCTTCTCTCACCTATCCATTGAAATATATATATATATATATATATTTTTTTTTATTGTTATGATTTCTTTGTTGATGAATTCAACTGGAAGTGATGGAATCTCTTGCTTACTAAAACCTTAAACATAATCGATATCAAATGTCAAACCTTTTGTTTTCTTGATTCCACTGCATTTTCTGGGTCGAATAGTATGTGATGCAGTTGCAGCTTGATTAAGACAAATTAAAGAACAATTAAGCCAAGTCAATTATTCAGCAGTGTCAACTGTCCACCTATGAATATGATAAAAAAATGAATCCCATAATTCAAATGTGCACATTAACAAGATAACGACTCTTTTTTTTTTTTTTTAAATGAAGAAAGCCTCACGTTTTAAACAAATCACACCACAATTATTCTTGATATATAACAAAAATAATTGCCTCTTGTTCTCGGTTGATGAATTGCACCAAGTGTCTGATTTACTATAGAATTTAAACTCATTGGTTCATGATTAAATTCTGAAATAAAATGTTTTAAATTTTATGTTTGTACTGAATTAGTGGTAATTATAAAATTACGATGTGTTAGTAGACATCATCATATTAATATATTCATCTTAACAAATCCCAATCGGCAAATAGGAAAAGAAAAATGTTTGTTGTTGCTAACTGGGAGGATGAACACTTAATCGTGACTAGGCAAAACTGAGTCAACTAGGAAGAGCTGCTGTATAGAGTTGACTAGGGGCAAACCTTTGACTGGGGTTGCTAACAATCATCAAAAGATTGAACATTAGGCCATGTATACACATACAAAAATCTGACCCAAAAATAAAAAATAAAAAATACATACAAAAATCAAACAAATATTATAATAAAAGAGCCCTTTCATTTTTTCCTATTTTCACATAAATTTTGTGGGCCTTCTTGAGTGCCATTTCAAAACACCATAAATATTATATAGTACGATGCTTTTATATATAATTCACTAGGCTGCATCATAAAATTTAAACTTATTTAACGGTAATAGATAGAGTGATGAGCATCATTATTACTTAACGGTGATGAGTAAAAATATTTTTTACAATAATTTAGGAAAAAGAGTTTCAAACCCCTGACACATAAGTAGAACTTCAACACCTTATCAACTAAAATATTAGAGCCATTCATACGCAATCACTAAATATCCATTCTAAAAATTCAGAAGTGCTCCTAAAATGTGTTAGTAATGGATGGTGATTATGTATAATAATCTGATTTAAGGGAAAAAAAAAATAAGGAAAATCATCCCTTTGTTTGAAAATAATCACACATCTACAAGTGCGTTTACCCCTTTGTGCATGTGTTTTTTTTTTTTTTTTCGAGAATTGCTAAGGAGACTCTCAAAGTGGAACTCCTAATGGGTTTTATGCCATCTCATGTGTTTGACACAATATTTTATAATGTTGACGTAAAACAACGTTACAGTTGTTTAAGCTTCTCCTTTCATTAGAGAATAACAATACATATGTATGTCACAGATTCTATGTTGCGAGTAGTTGAGTTTACTTAATTGTGGCATCGGACATAGTTAAATTCTCCATAACCTATCCGGGTTCGGAAAGAGTGGATAACCATAACTTACCATCAATTATCTCCTTAAAAAAAAAAAAATACATATGTATGTCAATTTTAGGTTCTAAATAGCATAATATAATAAAAATATTAGAAAAACGATTAGAGTCTGCACATTTTTTTTTTCTTGTGAAGAGTCCGCAAATTTTAGACTACAGTTAGCGGTGTTGGACATTGATGCTCGAAAAAGTACAAAAGATCAACGGTGATGCACACCACAAAAAAAGCAACCAACCGTATCCCGAGAAGCAGTGGATCATTCTTGGGATGAAATTACAAAAACAGGCTGTTGCCGAAGACTCCCCGGTCCAAATCGGTAGGTGCCCGCATGTGTTTGTTAAGTTGCCGCTAAAAATTAAATCAAACCCCACACCAACCTACCCTTAAAAATATCAAAATTAAAAATGGACCCCCTAAATAATAGAAAATTATATTTGCGTTTACAATTTTGGGCAGCTATAAATACACTCCTCCATTGGCTTGTGGAATTCAGTCGTGAGTTTGCTCTGCATCTACCTCTCTACCTAACTACTTCCTCTCTCTCTCTTTCTCTCATCAGAACTAACGCGCATTTTTCAACGGTAAGTTTTTATTTTCCTGCATTTCTGAAAACCCAAATCCCCAGTTTGATCGAATTCAGAAAAAGTTGAGATCTTTGATTGATTTGATTCTTATTTGTGTGGGGGAAAAAGGCAGGTTGAGAAATGGCACGCAAGAAGATCAGAGAGTACGACTCCAAGAGATTGTTGAAGGAGCACTTCAAGAGGCTCGCCGGCCGCGAACTGCCCCTTAAATCTGCCCAGGTGAGTTTTTTTTTTTTCTTTTTTTTTTTCTTCGATTTGTATTTTTTCTCTGTTATGCATTTAGATCTTCAAGTTTCAGAATTTGGCGCCCCATTTCGAACGAAATCATTTGGATATTAATAATTAATCAAACAACCATGTGGTTAAACTGTTGTAAAATGCTAATTATGGTGTGCGTGGTTTGGTTTATAGATCTAATCTGAGCTCAATAAACTTAATCATTCAAAGGTTTTTTATTTTTTATCAGGTTTTGTCCCGTTTGGGTTTTGGTTTTCTTAATTGGGTTGTTTAAGACAAATCTGTTTGTATGATTCCGATTAAGAAGTGAATTTGATGTTTCTGAATATAAGTTCTGTTGGAAATTGTAATTATATTGTGTTTTTATAGATTACCGAAACAACCGATGTCAATGAGCTGCTGGAGAAGGAATCGTGGCTTTCGTCTTCCAAACTCGTTGTGAAGCCTGACATGTTGTTCGGAAAGCGTGGGAAGAGTGGTTTGGTTGCCTTGAATCTTGATTTTGCTCAAGTTGTCGACTTTGTGAAGGAGCGCCTGGGCAAAGAGGTATTTGATCTTCACATTGTTTCATCAATACATAAATTCCTTATGTGTGTTTTGTAGTTGATGATTTTGATCTTCATAAGAATCGAGAATTTGGCTTACGTGTTTCGTTCTTTTGGCGACACAGGTTGAAATGGGTGGCTGCAAAGGACCCATAACAACATTCATTGTTGAACCGTTCATTCCCCACAATGAAGAGTTTTATCTTAATATCGTCTCAGACCGACTTGGAAACAGCATAAGCTTCTCCGAGTGTGGAGGAATTGATATTGAGGAGAACTGGGATAAGGTATTTTTGGATGTCAATGTGTTACCATATTCTTATTCAAACGCTATTCTTTGTTATTTTCAATAAAAAGATAAAAATTCCTAGAAGTGCATCTTCTATGAGCTCTATTCGTCTACCTTAACGCTCCATATTTATAAAAGAAATATACTTTGTGCAGGTTAAGACCATATTTGTCCCTACTGGAGTTGCTTTTACATCAGAAGTTTCTGCTCCACTTGTTGCAACCCTTCCCTTGGAGGTAAGTCTTTTATTGATATGGTATTTCGGTATCATTTCTGTATAGTTTACTTCTGACCAGAAAAAAACAAATAATGTACTCGATTTTGCTTGAGTCAATCATATGCTATCTCTCTTGAGTTCATGTTCGTTTTAGTTTAAATTGGAAATCATTGACA